GTTCCTTTCACTGGTGGAGATTTCTAACTTTTCTTTTTGACAGTTCCTCCATTCTTGTGTATCGAGAGGATACAACATCCCAAACGACTCTATTATTCTTTAACCACGGAATTATCAAGGATCAAATGACAAAGGCCTTATGCCACCATGTTGACATTTGGCATGCTTACTCTTGATAAGTAATCGCAAACTACAGTGTCACTAGTATGCGAAAGTACAGCATCCCAAAGACACTGCGAAAACCAACCCTATTTAAACTGAAGGCCGGAGTCAAGCTCGACAACTTCACTCAGATTGTGTACGGTTCAATTATAGCGAATTTAGTGTCAACTAATCAGACTGAGTCTTGGAGATCAAACAAAGCACAGCATTTTTAGCGACTTCTTAAAACACATCTCGTTAATTTAGATTTTTAGAGCCTTTCTGATTCCCCTGTGTGGTAAGAAATAGGTTATTTGGATCGAAATAAGCAAACGCAGATATGGCTTTGAAATTCACCTCAGACTCCTTTAGGTGTGACGTGGTCAGATCCACGGAGTCGTACTGACTATTCTCCTTATCTACGCGAATCTGAATTTCACAGTTACCCTTGTCTTCCGTCTCAGATTCCTCATTGACATTCCCATCCTCAGCAATAGCCACGGGAGCCATAACATCATCTTCGTTCTTATCACCGCTGACAGGCTGTTCTTCCAGCGACAATAGGGATTGGCGTTTCGTCAGTTGACAGGAATGAGGTGGTGGCCATGTTGACTCGGCTTGTGGTAAGAATCGAACGCTTCCAAAGGACTGGTTTCGTTTCCGTGGACCTTCACGTTCATCAGCGACACCGATACCAACACCACTTTCCACTTTTAATTGTGAGTAAGAAATAGGTGACGGCTGGGGCGGCAGGAGGTTGTTATGAGGTGTTATGGAATGGTGACGGACTGCCGAGCTGAAAACAGGACGCAGGATTGGCCGATGACCAGTAGAAGAGACGATAGAGACTTCGGCATCTGCAGTTGCGTCGGAGTCTGCGCCGGAGGAATCTTGGGAGAGAAATACATTGCCGCTACCTTCATTGCCAATTATGTCTGACGCCACCCCTTTGCGAATTCTGGCCTTTCGGGCGTTCTATGAATGAGATGATGAGCATTGATTGGTTAGTAGTGAAGAATAGAGCACATGTTGGTTTTGACCCGTTGTGTATTTATCGAACGAATTACCCATTTTTGTGGTGAGAACTTTGGAATAGTCTATGGTTGTAATGATCAGTTGAAGTTAACCAGAATAACTCAAATCAAAGTATGAGAAAGTGAAATTCCATCTTGTTCCTTCACATCGAGTAAATGAGTCCCGATCCACAGAGCATAATTTCAAGCAAGATGCAACTCAAGGATTTCTTGTTTGATAAGGTAGAGCTGCAGAGCATAACGAAGTGGTTGTTAATACTTCAAGCACTATAAAGCACGGGCCAAAGCGCACCAGTCTGTCGCTACAATCTTTCACATTGTACTTCCTACTGCCTTATTTATGATTTAGACTCAGCCTCATTTCAGCAAATGGCGATTAAACTGACCCGATGAATGCGATACGAACATAAACTTAATGGGTATCTTCAGAGATGTAGAGAAACTATTAGGAATGCTGATTACGTTGTAAGTAAAGATATAGGGCAAAACGTGAGTAGCGTAGAAATAGTTATCCCATATGGAGGGTCTTCGCTAGTAAAGGAATGCCATTTCAAAGGACCATACCAAGAAGCTTTTAGAAACTAGTAAAACTGACAAAATAAGTGGTTCATACCTACATCAATAGAAAGTGGGAAGAAGTGGCCCAATGTTAGCCAGTGGACCGTACTCACAAACTTTGCTTTTACAAACTGCGGGCAGTTGCAGAAATCCTCACATTGGTCTTCAATGCCTTCACAAATGCATCAGGTTAACCAAGCGAGCAAAAAAATTCATAGGTATTCCCAAATGATGTGCAATCTATTATTCACATAAAAGTCCCAAGGTGTTCAGCACTTCGTTCTCAGTGGTGAAAAGCCTGGTTTTGTGCCGATATGGAGTGTTGTAGATGAGAGTTGCTGAGACAATGTGAAGTCGGATAAGGAAACAACTCCCAGAAGAATCCTGACGG